AAATGTCTCTGTGGTTTGTTGGGTTTTTTTCGCCCCGGGGCGGGGGGGGGTGTGGGGTTTTGTGGCCGGGGGTTTTGGGGGGGGGGGGGGGTTCAAATTTCTGCCCCTACACACTTCAACACTCCTTTCAGATCGTGTTTCACAAAAAGAACCGTATGATGAGGAAAAAATGAAAAATCGTTCCATCGAACGGTGCCCTATCTTGGCGTGACAATACAACTCATGAATCTTTGATCTAATTCAATTTAATACATTGAACTTATGTTGTCACCTTTTATTTTAGAGAATCACCAACTAAGCAAAGCATTAGTTCTTCTTCTTATTAATCTTTCATAAAAAATCAATAATCATGCACCACATATTCGCAAATTTACTATGGATATTCATGGCCAATGTGAAGATCAAACTAAGTTCTAAAATGTCTTTTATTTGTTCATCGATTAAATTTGTTCATCTACCATATTTTGCTATGGTTAACGAAAAAATATATATGATCATGTTAAATAATATTGTTATTGTTGATTTAGAATGAATGATAAATAGTCTTGAATGGATAATTCAAACTCAGATATTATCATATGATCAAATAACACATTTTTGTGTACAATTATCATATTCATTAGCAACATTTGAACAAATTTTACAATGTCGACTAAAAAATAAAATGACAATTATTAATATAGTTAAACTATTAACTAAATTATATACTATTCTTGATGAATTTACTCGTCAAGTAGAAATCAATGGTATTCTCAATTGTTTGTATTTTCTATTTTGTAGATAATTAATAATAAAACACCAATTCGTGATGAATTTGAAAAACTTGCATCAATATGGGGTTCACAATTACAACAACCTTGTTATGGATTTTTAACTTATACAATGGTAATTTGTTATATCAAATAGAAAATTATGAGAAATCTTTATTTTTTTTTTTACTTTTTAGAGTTTGGAATTAGACGATGAAGAAGAAACAGTCAAAAAGAAAAAGAAAAAAAACAGATAAAAAAGATCCAAAAAAGGCATAAAATTTAAGTTTTATAATTGAATAATAACATATATGTATCTTTTTTTGTTTTTGTTTTCTTTAGAAAAAAAGTGTCCTTAAAGATAACTTAGTATCAAAATCAGTCTATGAAATGAAACAATATGAGTAATCATTACTTGAATTAGACAAACAACAAGATATATGTTAATAGTTTTCAATGTATTGTCATTTTTGTCTCTTTTCTTTTTCTATTTTAGAAACGTTTATTAGAGACATTTAAAATGTCTGCTGTACGAGATTTTCGATTTAATTTGGTTAGTATACCCGACGAACAACGAACATTACAAACAAGTCATTAAGAAAATCAAGCTAAAGAACAGAAAGAAGAAGAGCAAATTGATGAAGAAGAAAATAAATAAATTAACTATGTCAAATATATAATAATGTTCTGTTTTCTTTTTTGTAAATTCTATTTTCGATGTAGTATTCCGTCTTATTTCAATGTGCATTCAATTATTGCTCGGCGAGGTTTTTTTTATTTACGTGCATATATTTCTCTATATTGAATTTGAAAGGACTAAGACCAAAATTAACTTCAATTGCTTCATGAGGTGTTTGTAAACCAACTGTTGGATAAATTTCTGTCTATAATGTAGAACAAAAAAAAAACATAAGAGTTTGATAAATTTAATAAAACAAGAAATCTAATACCGGCATATCTTTGAAAGATGTACCTAAAAGAAAAGATAAATGTATGAATTGATTTATATATTTTCTTAAGAAAAAAAATGTTTACCAATATTGTAACCATTATGAGTATAGTAAACCTGATGAATAAAATGAATGACTATCATCACCGTGATAACCGTATGAGCCTTTATCCCATCCGAATAACCGATTAAGAAGAATAGTTTTTCAGATGACAAATGAGCTTTTGTTGCCAAGATTCGGAATGTTTAGTGTGTTTTTCCTGTTCGGTCCTAGTTGTCAACCAAGTATCTCCAAGATATAAGTCTCTCAAAAAACATCCAAGTTTTTTATAGTAATCATGATACAAGAGCATATTTTTACAAATTTATAGCTTGGAGAGACTTGGTGGGAAAACTCTGAGACTGTTTGTACAAGCTAACCTAATTGGTGTCTTTATATAGGCTACGTTTCAGATCTAAATTCAAAAGCATAGTTTTGATTGAACACTAAGGTTTTATAGAAAAAATCTACTAAAAATTCAATATCTTAGTAATAAAAGTTCAGCAGTTCGAATCATCCTAAAATATTTATTTACTTACTAGACCTTATCGATTGAATATAATTTCAAACTTAAAAACGATTTGTCATTTCAGAGCTCTCCCTCATGAGACTTACTTCACTAGCAGACCGATCAATTCCCATGCATCTAATTACAAAAAAGAAATCAACATTTCAAAATTGTATCATTCAAAAATAAAGTCAAATTTAACATTAATCAGTTTTTTCTATCGATAGTTATGTTTTACTAGAGTCAAACCCGTTTTTAGTCGTTCTAAATCGATAATGCGACGTTTTCATCAATAGGCTAATCAAAGTCGAAATTAGAGTAAAAAGTAACTATTCTGAAAATCAGTAATCATAGAGCTTTACTAACAGGTAGCAACTTGTTTCTATTGAAGCCTATTGATTGATATGTTGATTTTCTTTCTGACTTATTATCGATCATCAGCTGTATCCATAGTTATCTTAGCTATAAGCAATGAGAGTAGCGGCTAACATTTGTTAGTGTCTTCATTTTAAATGTCTCGAAGCTTCAAAACAAACAGAATCCATAAAAATTTAACTTTTTAGGACGACATTTGTAAGCAAATGAAACGTTCTCGAGAACACTTGAAAAAATAGTGTTGGTTTCATCTTGATACTCTCACCTCGTCTTTGAAAAAGGACCTCTAAGTTTCAGTTCTCAACACCATCAAGACATAAAATGTCGAACTTTGATGCGTATGTCAAGCAAGTGATTTAACTAGAAAATTCGCGAAGGACTATATAAGTGCGAAAACTTTTAACAGCAGCACAAATAAAGGAAAAATAAGTTTTTTTTTGCATTTTTCGTCATGTTGCAACGTTTCGATAAACATATAATCATTATCAAGTTAAAATTGCTTATAAATTATTACAAAGAAGTAACAGTTAAAATTATGTTAAGAGATTAGAACTTCCAATTAAAGGTATACTATTATTTTTGAAATTTCACAATTAAAATTCGAATTAGCTATCATGATGAAATTATGATTGTTGATTACGTTAGCAATACAATTAGAGATAAAGATAGAAGTATAATTATTCATTACATTACAATTAAAATTAAATTACAATTATTATTTACATAATACGTAATTGAAATGAGAGTTAAGGATGAAAATTATAATTATTGCTTGAATTATAATTAGAATTGGAGATAGAAATATAACAATTGTTTAGCTAAAATTATAGTTACAAAAAGAGATAATTATTAGTTATTTGGACCTAGAATTAAAAATAAAATTTTTATAATTATGTTTAAAGGTGTAAATTGTTAAATATGTGCAATTGGTTGTGATTGAAACTAATCTTAGGCTTAAGATTGACTATGTTTTTGAAATCGTTAGAGACTCTTTTATCAACAATCAATAAAGATGCTTGTCTCCGCCTAGTAGCAACCAATTCTACTGGTGAATCAGATGTTTTGTTATCGTGATATGACGCTGAACCACTGATTTTGTTTCTGATATAGCACCTAATAATCTTTGTCATGACTATCGCATTGGACATACGAAGTCTGGAATTTCGTATCTGCAGAAATTCTAGCAGAGTACTTTAGAACCTCATGTTGTTGTATTTTTGGCGCTTCTGAGGGTATATCATGTTCCTTTAAGTGTCAGCAGATCTATCTCACTGTCTCTCCTATATATGTAATAGAACAAGCGGTGTAATTCAATCGGTATACAACATTTGATTGAAGATCTTTTGTTATTTCATCCTTGTTCTTGAGCAATTGACGCACAGCTGATGGTGCTCAGGGAATCGCTACCACTGGTGCTCTTGGCTTTACTTGACCAGCTAGTTTTCTATTTTGTTTAATCAAGTATTTAGTTTGCTTTTTCCACAAATGATGCATCAATAACTATGCTGTCGTATGCTTTTTTTCATGATATCATTCTGTTGTCTACTCGGCTGATTTTGATTATCATTTATTGTTCCTTTATTTTGTTTTTGAAGGGATCTATTAAATGTATCTTTTATTTAGCATCTAACAAAGTTCCATAGATAACTATTTTTCTTCGTGATATTTCAAGTAAAATAAAATTCTTTTTGCACTAATACAAATAACGAAGAAATACATATGGCACGATATGCCATAAAAGTCTCTAAGAAAATCTTGCAAATTCTAGGGACAAAATGTGATCAATTTGTTAATAATCCTATATATATTGTCTTTCTATATACCGACGTTTCGAAAGATCTAACGTTACGATCTACAAATACATCAAGAAATGGCAATTCTTTATTTTGTTTTTCAACCGAACTGAACTGTATATCCGAATGAAAGCTATTTAGCACATTTCTTACACAATCAACATTTGCATTTCCATGAACAATAATGAATCTATCATCAACATATCGTTTGTAACACAATACTCCTGTTGTTTTTTCTAGATGTTTCAGCAGGTTATTCTCAAGCTGCATTATTGAATAAATCAGCTATCATTGGTGGCAGACCTAATCTCATGGTCACTCTATTATGTTGAAGATAAGTTTTACTAACAACAGAAAAACATGTATCTGATGTAGACATGGAGAGTAATTCTTTCGTATCATGTTGATTTTAACGTTTTAAGCTGCAATTCGTTTTTTACTTTATAATTTTAGGACAATTATATTCTTGTCCATAGGCCCTGTCAAGAATTATTTCAATAGTATATGGCAAAGGAACTTTGGTAAATAAGCTAGTAGCGTCAAAAGAAACCATTCTATCTTCTGTCATATTTGCTTTTAAGTTTCTAATGGATTTAATAAACATATATGTATTATTCAGCATATGTTTCTTATATCCCAATAGTCCTCATTTTGTAGCTAAAAGCTTAGCAAGACAATAATTATAGCTACTCATTGTTGATATGGCAGGTTCTAACATCACACCGCTCTTATACATCTTAAATAGTCTATATACTCGGTCATATTAAGAGTTACATGAGTAAGCTAGTCTACGGGGTTGTGTATAACGTATTGCTTAGAGAGTGGGTGTGAAATACAGTTCAAACTCCAAAGATATAAAACTGAATTTTATACCAAATGAAAGCCCGTCAAACTCAAGATTTAGATGTATAACTCGTTATTCATAGGACGAAAATGGGATATAGAATTACGAAAAATTTCAAAATTTTAGGGATATATGTAGGGTTAAAATACTCAAAAGCGTCTTAGGCTATATCAGCTAGAGCATTTCGAGATTTTGAATATTTTGATCCAAGCATCGATACTTATATTGATCTAATGTAAATTTTTTTTATCCAATATGACCAGCAAAGGGAACTCTACAAAAGCCGAGAGATAAAGAAATTCTGTGAACTCTATGTTTTGTGGTTGGCTAACTATGGAAATATCCAACTATATCCCTAAATTTTTGAAACTTTCCGTAATTCTATATCTTATTCTCGCCCTTCAAACAGCGAGTTATACTCTTAAATCCTACTTTTGATGGGCTTTCATTGGGTCTATAATTCAGTTTCATATCTTTTAGAGTTTGAACTGTATTCCCCTAGCAAAAGGTTATGCACAACCCTGTATATTCACTTGTATACAGACCGTCTCAATTCAATATCGTTCAGAGTACATTTATAAATCGATTCTCCTTTTTATTATTGAATCATGATTTAGTATTTCAAAAGCTGCTGAATCAGTTAATATTTTAAGCATTTTACCAACATATTCTTGACGATAGAGAATGACAACATTTTTATTCTCATCAAGTCTCGTTATGTAAATCGATATACTTTTCGCAAAATCCTTCAATACCGAGAGTGACTCTTTATTAGTTTTGTTATTTAATCTGAGCTCTTATGCGCTGTTTTTCTTGAAACGATCAAGTGTCGATTTCAATTTCGCTGCATGCTCCGGTTGTTGCAACGTAAGATTATATTTCATATTTTTATCCAGATCTATGTCTTTCAAATCATATTTGTCTGTAAAACGATTGTTGTAAGTTTTCAATGTGGACTTAGATGTAGGTATGTAGCATTGTTGACAGTGCAAGCACAACTCCTTACCCGAAAAATTGGTGTCAAAATTGTTTTTGCTGTAGACAAATATTTTTTTAGAATTTGCATCTCGCAATAACAAATTGTTCTGA